CAAGTACAGCCTGCAGCTGTTTCTGGGTTTTATCGGCCTAAGCGCGATAGTCCTGGTGGTCCTGATGGGCGCCTTGCACTTTCACCTCGTCGTCGTCTACATCTATCGCTGTGTGTGGATGGTGAATCGAGAGCTGCTACGATTCGCCAACCAGCTGGCAGAGGGCGAAACAGTTGACCCTGCCGGGGTGGACAGACTTCTGGGCCTGTACAGTCGCCTGTTGGAGCTGAACCATCGCCTGGCCGAGATCTACGACTACCAGATGGTGCTGGTGATGGTGAGCTTCCTGGCCACCAACGTGCTGGGCATCTACTACTACATAATCTTCAGCATCAGTTTGCACAAGGACATGGACATCATCCTGCTGTTCATTGTGCCCCAGGCCCTGTTCATCAACATGTACGACTTTTGGCTTTCCATCGCCGTGTGCGATCTGGCAGAGCGAACGGGCAGGAAGACCTCTACGATCCTCAAGCTCTTCAATGACATTGAGTACTTGGATGTCTCACTGGGACGAAGTGTAAGTTGGCAGGTATTCATACTGGTGTACTCATCCTTTAGGTTTACTTCTCTCCCCTTGTAGATCTCGGACTTTGCTCTCTTCTGCAGCCATCAAAGGCTCAGGTTCCGTCACTGTGGGCTGTTCTATGTGAACTATGAAATGGGTTTCCGCATGGCCATTACCAGCTTCCTTTATCTGCTGTTCCTCATTCAGTTTGATTTTAACAATCTCTGAAGAATGAATATTAAAGGAGCGCCCGGTCTAATTGGTTCGCACTTCTTTGTGTCGTCTGGAGTCGAGGGCTCTTCTTTCCGCGTGGAAGGGGACTTACTCGGTGCTGCCATGAATAGGACTTACAAGTGACAGCTGAGGATGTTACTGGGGGGATGACACGCGACTTTTACACGTTCAGGAGTCGTGTCTAAGTGAATGCCTTGTTGACTTTTGAAGCCATCTCCAGCTGAGATTTGCATGTAGGGGAGGAGTGCAAAGACGGCCGCGGGACATCTGCCTCAATGGAGAATGAGTTTTAAGCAATAAAAGCAGCATTCTCATTCCACCGAAACGGGGCTGCTCCATAAGCCAAAATGGGAGCACATAATGGCTTGGAAAAGCACTAAAATTAAGGCCAACAAATGAACGAGTTTTCAGCTGTGCAGCTGGCCAATAATGCAGCGATTTCCGGGCTGTAATCTCCACTTGCTCCACAGAAAGCAATGCAGAGAAAAGCTGCACATAACAGCCACTGACATGAAGTTAGCCATTGCATTTTCTCCACTTTCCTTTTGTTGGTCAGCTGCTGGCTCTTCTTTGTATGTCTGCTGGTTGGGTGCTCTGTTCATGTTCATGACTTTTATTTTCCAGCTTGTTTGGCTTAATTTATGGAACTTTGCCTTTCACTTAAATGAAAGTCTGCACCACAACAGACAGAAGCAAAAATAACCCGTAGGAAAGAAAAGCAATTGAAAGCAACAATTAATGTGGGCTGTGGCAAACAAAACAAAAAGTCCTGTGAAAACATCAACACTCGAGGCCAGAGATAAGCTGCATCCTACCCACTCATTGACAGGAGCAAACCGCTGTCAAAGCCAGGCACTTGCCCTCCTCCAGTCCGCTTCGCTTCCCGGAGCCATTCTCCTATTAGCCCCGATTAGACCCCAGGAAGACAATGCCAAAGGAGGCATCGACAACATCGAGTGGAGCAGCAATAAAGGCCACGTCCCTCACAGCAAAAGTGCGTAAATTGATTTTTATTATCCCAGGCAGAAAAACTTCCTCCGAAATCTTTCGGGGTGTCGGTCCCCGTTTCATTCTGCTTCGCTCGGCAAAAAGTTTCTGCCACTCTCGATTTTCTCTCTCTCTCTGCTCTCTTTTATCGCCAATATATCCCCAATATAGTTGATTTATTGGCTTTATCCAGAGGAGCCAGAAATTGTTCATTGCGTTGTTTACACCATAAAAATCCTGATGAGCGCATTAGTTGCACGAAATGTTGCCATTCAACCATCGTAAATTTCATCGATAATTTCTGTGCGCTCGGTTCTGTTTTCCCCTGGCGGTTTATATATATTTTACGATAATACGAAATTGGTTCAAGGCTCTGCAAATTGATATTCATCTTTGGAATAACTTAATTAAATAAAAACAAGTATTTTAAGAGCATACTTTAAGCAAGGGACCTTTTTTCGCATTCTCTTTGCCATCTGATAGCACTTTCCCTGCTGGAAGTTTATCTTTTTCGGCTCAAAAACCTGCATCCCTTTTGTAAAGATCAAGTTCACCTCAAATTACAATTTGTACAGCAAATTAATTAAAATTTGCCACTGGGCTTTCCACGAAATTGAGCTGACTGGCCATTTATTGTAATTAGGCGGCAGCCCCAGTTCGGCCTCGTACTCGTTTTTTTTTTTGTGGTTTCTCTGCTGGACGTTCAATGACCCAAAGGATTGCTGCAGGCTCGAATGAAAGGCCAAAGTTTATCAGCGAATTTTTAATTTAAATTTATATGTCTTCGCAGCAACCCTGCGCCCCCCACCCAATCGGCGTATACATTTGATTGACTTTCGAGGGGAAGCGAGAAAAGGGGAACAGTTCCTTTGAGCTTGGACATTGGGGACAGACATTGGGGGCCGGCCTGTATGTAAGTACTCGTAATGAAAGGAGCATCAACAAAGGCAACCTGCAACCCGCAACCCGCAGACCTTTCTCTAATTACGATAAATGCCCGCCAATTGTTCCATGGAATCAACTCAACAGCCTTAATTAGTTTGCCAATGCGTTATAATTTGGCACCCTGCCATCAATTTATTTAAGCCGATCGGCCAAAGAGTTAGACACGAGAAGACGAGCAGTTCGAAAGTTGAGCTTTGGAGCGGCGTCTAGAGAAAAGTTTTGTGAAATTAAATAATTGGCAATTTGCTGCAAGTTGCTGGTAGTTTAAACAACAATTCAGCGACGAGTAAAGCCGATTTGTGTCTCCAGAATAAGCGCAACAGTGGGATAAGAGGACAAAAAGAGCAAAGCAATTAGACGAAAGTTTCAAATTCTGCTTAAATATTTATTTAATGAGTCAATTTTCACGTAGTTCAACAGTTTAGTTGGCTTGAATGAAAACGGTGGCTGACAGAAAGTTCTGTGTCTTGCAGAGTTCCCTAATCCATTGTCTAGAATTTCAAGAAATGTTTCTGGTTTCAAGCAAAACTATACATATTTTTCAGTTAAAAATACGTTCCTCTACCTTTAACAAAAGAAATCCCTATAAGCAGTAGCGAAAATTAGTGTTTCTTTTATGATTTTGACAGTGCCCCCTGCCTGCATGGCCATAAAAATCGAGCAACGATTACAGAACTTATCACTATGCGACGACTATGAGTGGAATAGGTATCGTGTCAGACCTATTTCTGCTGACTCAGCAAATCATCATAAAAGAAAATATTTTTATGATTTTGTTTTTGGGGCCCCGTCAAAAGTGCTGTCCTCAGGCATTGTCCTCTCATCTCATTTCGGGGCGAGAGCCATAACCAGATGCTGTCATTTTAATAAAAATATATTGAAAGCTGGCAGAAATCAACGAAGGAACGAATCGAATCGAATCGAAACGAATTATCTGAAACATTTGACGAGTTGCTAACAGCAGGAATGTTGACCCATGGAGGAGGGGATTTTTATTGTGCAAACAAGGGAGTGGTGGGAACAGAAATAGGGGCAGCAGCAGCGGGGCAGGAGCAGGAGTAGGGCCACGTGGCCCAACAATTGGCGGATGTCCTGGACGAAGGCAATAAATCAAATGCCTGTGTACACTCTGGCTTATATTTTGTTTGCCCGTCGTGCAGATGAGCAGGAAATTTGCCAGAAAGCTTGGCAGGAGCAGCAGCCTTTTCAATGGGTGGAAACGAGAATCCCCTACACAGGATAATAAAAATCAATTTACGCGATTGTTTGGAGTGTCTTTGCTGCCTGCTGCTGTTCCCTCTGTTATCGCCTCTGGCTTTGTGCTCTCTCGATAATCGAAGATAATGGGGGCCGAGCCCCTCGACGGGGCCTGTCACTGACAGCGATGGTTGCTGCCTCCTGCCAAGGACACCGTGTGCATCCCTTCTCGTTCTGAGGGAAAGTACGAGTGTGTGTGTCTGCCATTGTGTGGCTTCTGTTCTGCGTTTCCCATTGTTGGCCTAATTGTTGCTGTCAGTTGTGTATTTCCCTGTAGCAGCTTGGCCTAAATGTGGCCGAACAAGTCTGGAAAAATGTTGAATTGAATCTTCCACTTGGACCAGGAATAAAATAACAGATAGTAAAGCATAAATCAAGCATGGTCAGGCTGGAAGGGAAGAGCATATGAAACTGAATAATCGCAGACAGGAAATTAGCAGAGCACCAAACAGGCCACATACTATTCTACGAAAATCAGCACAAACTTGTCCACCAAGGGGAAAGTAAGGGAAACTGCACTGTGGCTGCTCATGTTCGTTTCTGCTTTTGTGCCCGTTTTTCTCTGCATTGTTCTCTAGGGGTAGGAAAGCCAGGGGGAACGTGGAGGGACGAGACTGCCCTGCCTTCACTCTTGCCTTATCCAAAATGTACATAAAGCTGGAAACTCGTTCATTTGTTGGCCTTAATTGCGCTGTTTTTCCATGCTGCTCCTTCTCTTTAGACTCTTTTGAGTCTTGTGTTCCTCTTTTTGGCTTCCTACAAAGCGCCTGCTGAAAGGGAGTTTTCCTTTTATTGCCGTCCTGCGGCCATGTTCCGATTTCTTTACATATCTTAGCTTCAGCTCTGATTGCAACGCATTCACTTTTAGCCAACTGTGTGGAGTCTTACATTGCTTAGGGCTTAGACTATATTTCCCATTGACTGAGGAGATTTTCCTGCGCTTTATGCCTGGCTGTTTCTTCTAATGATGTGTCCTGCTTTGACTCGTATGAATTACAAATTCATATAATCAAATTGCACCAGGAAAAGCAGATACAAGACACTTGTGACGAGCATTTGGAAACCCATCTCAAAATTGACGTAGAACAGTCCACAGTGATGGAACCTCAAACGGCGATGGCTGCAAAATAAAGCAAATTCCGAAAACTGGAAGGGAAAAATGGAAAAAATCATCACTAAATATTGTCTGGCAACTTACACTGCGTTCCAGCTCTTTGTCTAATGTTTGCATGTCATTAAATAGCTTCAGTATCGTGGAGGTTTGCCTGCCCGTCCGCTCTGCCAGGTCACATACGGCGATGCTCAGCCAGAAGTCTAGGAAATTGTTGACCAAAGCCAGGGGAAACATGATCAGCATTACGAAGACGGACATCTGGCTGAGGCTGACGCTGAAGACGATCATGTAGAAGGAGACGATTATGTTGCCGCCCAAGAAGATGGTCATCATCATAGCCGTCTGGTAGTCATAGCATGCGGTAAGTCGTGTGCTGAGGTCCAGCAGGCGGCAGTAGAGTGAGAGGAGCAGGCGAACACGAGAGGAGCTTCCCTCCGGCTTGACCCTTAGGCGATTGGCCATGTCCAGAAGTTCTCGGTTGATGAACCACACAAAACGGTAGATGAATGCCACGCCCAGGTGGAAGTGTATGGCCAACATAAAGCAACCCATCTTCGCGAGTGAAACTGACTCGTTGGGCATACCAATGTGGATGACCAATGTGGATACCACCCCTCCGAATATGAGTAAACCCTTTCGGATAACATATCGATCGAAGGTTGGGCACTCCACTGCATAATCTGCAAAGTACTTCACTTCCAAATTCAGCAGCTGGTTGTAGATCCTGCACAGGTCTCTGCTCCTCCAGAAGGTTCGCAGATAAGTCACACATATCGTAATCACTCCGCCAGTGCCCAGTATCACGCTGATTTGCCGCAGCACAAAGTTGCGCTGAAACACATCCAACTTGGGGTCATTCGCCATGGGTTCCCCTTCTCCGCCATGGGGTCGCACCATCAGGATCACAAGAATCGTGTTGAAGGTAATTCCATATGTCAAGAGCCACTTGGAGCGGCGCAGTCTTCTTTTCTTCGAGGTGTACGTGAATGGAAATATGCCAAGAGCCCAGGAACTGTATAAAATCGAGTGGAGTATAAAGTGAACCAACTTATGACGGCAACCACTGCGTGGTCGGAACATCGTAGAGCAACTGTTGGCTCCCATCCTTACGGAGGCCCAGAAAGAAGCTAAACATCGATGAAGTGTAGAAGTGTTCAAGTAATTTAATTGCTAATGCATGAATGATTTCCCGTAGGTAGGGGCAGACGCATTTCCAATACTAGTTTCATGTATTTGTAAGATTGCTTATGAATTAATATTTAATGTGTGAAGTCCTCTGTCCAGTAACAGAGCAACAGCGCTGAAAAGCAAAAGCGCCCCTGTTGTCAACAGACTGCTACCGCTCTCCGTTAACAGTGCGCTACCACTCGCCGTTAGCAGCCTGTGGGCCGTATAGAGCGCACTGTTAGCGATCTGAGTGCAGGTTCCCGCTGGCTGTTAGGATCCACACGGCTCTCGCGCTCGCTCTTAAGATCCACACTGTTCTCACGCGGCCTTGTAATCTAATGTTAGAACTTAGTTCCACTTGTGATCCAGCTCCGCTTTGTGAAATGGGAGTAAACGCAAAGGGAGTTAGTTGTTACGAATAGTATGTATTATACAGCGCACCCGACGTTGGATCTCCTACAAATTCATAAAATCAAACTGCACCAAACAGAGAAGATACGTGAAGGTGGCGACGATCATCCGAAAACCCATTTGAAAATTCACAGAGATAAATCCGTACAGACTAAATCGAAATCTGCGATGACTGCACAGCCAAGTAAACTCATTAATCTGCTGAGAAAGAAGACAGCTAATGTCATTGAGAGTCGGAATCGATTTACTTACACTTCTCTCCATGTGCACATTGGTATGCTCCAGATCACTGAAGAGCTTCAAGATGGTTGAGGTGTGCCTGCCCGTTCGCTCTGTGAGCTCACATGCGCATATTATTAGCCAGTATTCCCACATGTTCATCATTAAGGAGAATGGGAACATTAACAAAGGGATCGAGAACTGGCCCATGCTGACGGTGTACACGATCAGGAAGTAGATAATCACAATGTTGCCAGAAAGAGATCCTGTTAGTATCAGTGTGATCTGGCCTTCATGGGTGACCTCCAGCTGTTTGCTCAGCGCTAAAAGTCGAACGTATAAGGAGAGGAGCAACTGAATCCGCGAAGAGTCTGACAAAGGGTTCACTCTTAGGCGACTGAATATACTAAGGAGCTGTCGGTTGATGAGCCACACAGAGCGATATATATAGAGCATGGCCAGGAGGAAGTGCATGACCACCAAGTCAAGAGAGATCAGCGTTATGCAAAGGAAGAAAACCAAGAGCCAAGACGAAGAGAATTCCGGCATTCCGAAGGTCGCTATCAATACGCCAAGAACCTCTCCCACAGTGGACATAAACTTCTGGATCACATAGAAATTGAATTTCGAAGCATCCTCCACATTGAGGCTACCAAAGTGTTGATCCTCCAGAACCAGCAGTTCGTTGAGAATTTTCAGCACTTGTCCGCTCTTCGAGAAGGTAATGCAGTGTACTCCGCAGCTGACAATTAGGCCAAGGAGTCCGATGAGTACGTTTATCCACATCAGCACGTCACTTCGCTTAAATACCTCCATATCCTGTCCAGTTTCTGCCCTGTACCTAGTGCACAGCACAAAAAGGAAGAGCAGCAAAATGTTCATGGTCACTCCATAGACCAGAAGCCAAGTGCTTCGCCTCAGCTGCCTTTTCTGAGCGTCTAAGGTGAATGGCAACAGGCCTAAAGCCCGCGAGACAAACAGTGTTATTCGCAGGACGAGAAACGTTAGTTTCGGGGCGAAGCCCTCCCGACGTCGAAACATTGCTGACTGAAGTTCCCAAAGTGGCCTTGCCCTGTGTGTTGTGGCAGAAGAGCTGCCATGCCATTAATATTTATATCAAAGTTAAAGCATCTAGCATTAAAGGCTTTTAAGCTAATTAGGACAGAAAAGCCGTGTGGATAAATCGATTGATGGACTAACTCTTATTTGTATTGCAGGTTCATATAATCGAATTGCACGAGAAACACCGAATATAAAATGTTCGTGATGATCATACGGAAGCCCATTTCATAGTTTACGTAGAACAGTCCACAGTGTCGGAACCTCAGCCTGCGATGGCTGCAGAATAAAGCAAAGTCCGAGAGCTGCAAAACGAACAGAGGGATAATTATCAACACTAGAGATAACTAAGGCTTATGCCTTACACTACGTTGCAGTTCTTCATCCATTTGTTCGCCGTCATTGTATAGCTTCAGAATCGCAGAAGTCTGCCTGCCAGTGCGCTCTGCCAGATCGCAGAAGGCTATGCTCAACCAGAGATCATAGAAATTGATAATGAGCGCTTGAGGGAATATCATGGCAATGTCCAGTAGCGAGAACCTGTGCTTGTTGTTCCAGAAAATGATGAGCACATGGGCGATCATGATGTTGGCAGACATGAGGGTGACCATGACGAGGGTCACCTGAATATCGTAGATGGCTGCCAGTCGAGAGTTTAGTTCCAGCAGGCGACTATACAGCCTGAGCAGCAACTGGATCCGGGCCGTGTTCACCCTCTGGCCACGCCGCTGTTGGTTGGCCAGCTCGAGGAGCTCGCCATTGATGGTCCACACGAAACGGTAGATGTAGATCACGGCTAGGTGAAAGTGCGTAATGCCCAGCAGCACTCCCAACTGCGCCAGGCAGACGCAGGCGGCTTTCGCAATCACGACATTGGTGTCGGGTACTCCGTAGTAGATCAGCAAGGAGGAGGCGACTTCCAACAGCACCGTGCAAAACTTTTGGATTACATAATTGTCAAACTGGTGGCAGTGCCCGAGGTTTCGATGGTGGAAGTGTCGTTCCTTCAGGAGTAAGAGCTCATTGAGGATGGTGGCCATTTCCTTGCTCTTCCAGAAAATGCGCAGATGCATAACGCAGGTGCTGACCATGCTGATCATTTCCACCAGTCCCTCCACCTGCTTTACCACGGGATTTCGATGGTACACCTCAACCTTGATTTCTTTGTGGGGTTCTGGTTCCGGCAGCTGCGACAGCCACATCAAGCCCAGGTTCAGGACCAGGCCATACAACAGTAGCCATCGGCTGCGCGTCAACTGCCGTGTCCGGGAGTCGTAGGTGAAAGGGAACAGGCCCAGTGCCCAGGATCCGTACAGAGTCGCCTTTAGAGTGAAGTGAGCCACTCGCTGGCGATAGCCGCGACGCGTCTGTTGTGGCATTGTCGAAGTTCGAATCCAAGTGAAGTGCTGACAGAGTAATTATGGGAATAGTTCGATGTCGAGTGCTGATGATGGGATAGCAACAAAAAGAGATTGATAAGAAAACCATATGGCCAAATTAATTTCCCCATTGAACAAGTTTCGGGGGTAACTTTAATGAAGAGTAATCCATATTCCGCATCAACAAATACTTCGAGTATACAGAACATAAACCACTTGAGTGTGACCTATTACCTATGGCAAACATGTTCCACTTGACATTTGTAAACTTCTTTGAGCACACTCTAGCAGAAACCAAAAGCAGAGGAGGGACTGGAGGATTTCCCCTCTCGCGAGACATTCCAAATTGATAGCTTTTAATGCTGTGTAAGTCTCGGAAGTTGTGCAAATTAAATGCCAATCAATTAGTATCGCCCCACATGTCTCAGACGACAATTTTGATGGCTCACTGAGCAGCTGAGATGCGAGCAAAGATGGGGAGCATGTGAGATGTCTGTGCAGTCAGGCGATAGAAATTCTTGAATCTCTCAGAGAATCTTCGCTTAATTAGGCTCGATTGATGGCTGAGAGGGAATCCAATATGACCTCAGGCTGACCTGGCACTCTTCATTCCTCTCAAGAAACAAGAAAAATTACTACCCATCGAGACATCCCATGGATGTCACTCGACTGGAGTTGTACCCTCTCATGGCTACTGATATGCACAACAAAGTTTCGAATGGCTTCAAACTTGTTTCCCTCGATGCCGACGCCGAAGCGCCTGCAGTTTTTGACACTGTTGCAAAGTTAACAGTTCTCCACCTTCCCCCTGTCCGCCTCTTTCAGTGGCAGTTATGTTTGCAGGAAAACTTTTAGCACCTGTCACCTGTAAACGCCTTTCCGCTTCTCCTTTCCGCTTCCCTTTTCATTTTGGGTGAATTCTTTCCTCCTTTCGAAGTTTGTTTTTGGCAGCATTTAGACGAGTGACAGGCGAGAGGTTCCTCTTCCTCTTGGATGCAGAATCTTGGGTAAAATTGTAAGCTGATTAGTTGAATATTTGTGTCCACATCAAATCGTTCCTAAGTGTTGTCCGAGCAGAATTCAATTAGGGTTTGCACTTTTATGAGCAGATTCAATTCACATAACACTCGAGCCGCATCCTGTGACCTGGGGCAAAGGTTCCCTTTGAAGGTACCTTGCGGCCATTTGCCATTTGGCATTGGAATTAGTATTAGGAGAACCCAACACAATTGTAGCTTTAATTTTTAATTGCTGACCACAACAAAGAAACTGCAAACAGCGGAACGACAGCATGCTGCGGCACATCCAATTTGCATCGCTGCATAAACGAAATGACTTCTGGGCAGGGACTGCTACTGTAATGGGTGGAGGAACCTGAACCACTCGCATTTGCAGCTTAATTTAACATGAAATGGTCTCCAATTGTGGCGGGTCTCTCACCATCCCCTAACTGCGGGAGTCCTCCCGCGTCCTTCCATCTCTTGGAAACCACAAAACGATTGCAGCTGAGAGGAGACGTGGAAATGTTTGTGGCCAGAGTCGGTTGAGGGTTCTCCTTCTCCCTCATTTGTCTGTTAGATATTTGTTAGCTCTTCTCCATCTTCATCTAAATGCCTGATTAAAGGCAGCATTGAAGCGTCAAACCTCTAGGCACATCTCTGCCTTGAGGCTTCCCTTCCCCTCCTGCGTTGAAAAGGCAGTCATTTGCCACCCACGTGCGTGATTTTCTTTTAAATAAGGCGCGAGAAAAACACCAACATCTCAAAGGCAAAATGGAAAATGGAATGCGGGAAAAGTTCTCCCATGTTGAGCCACGTGAGCCGCCTCCGAGACTGTCGCCTTCAATTAGACAACGCCGCTCGCATTTTTATCCCGCTC